TTACCCCCAAACAGTTTCACAGACCTTGTAAGCTGATACATGCAACAATTCTGACATAGGGCCCCACTTGGGAAGATGCCCTAATTTGCTTCTCTCTTGCTTTGACAGAATGCCAGCTAAACAAAACTCGTGGGAGAAAAAGGTTTATTTCCCCCTGCAGGTTACAGTCCATCATGGAAGCAAGTCAGGGCAGGAGCTCCAGGCCGGAACCAAGAGGCAAGCTGAAGCAGAAACCCCAGAGGAGCACTGCGTACTGGCTTGCTTCTAGCTAGGTTCACATTCAGCTACCTTACTTATACAGCCCTAAGCCCACCTGTCTGGGGGTAGTACTGGCCACAGTGGGACAAGCCCTTCTCCATCAATTAGCCATCAAATGCACCCCCAGACATGCCTAGGAGCCAACCTAATGGAAGTCATTCCAGCCACCCAGTTGTCTCTAGCTTGTGTCGAGTTGTCAAAAATCATCTGGCATAGGAGATAAGAAGATGGGGGTGCTGGTATTTTGAAAATCTCAAGGGATCACACAAATGAAAACATAATTTATCCTTGGCTAATCTGCCATTTGGAGAAACCCCTATGAAAGGCCCTGTTAGGGAGAGTCTGGTGTGCCTGAGGTGTGTTATCCTTGGTCCTATGTGCAGGCTGGAGACACAGACAAATGTTCAGAAAGCATCTGGGCCTTTAGAACTTCTGACCTTTCTTCAAGCTGTTTCCTCTCCCCTTCCAGTCCCAGCACTCCAAATTTTGTGAGATTAAAGAGATGCCTGTCCAGTCTCCTCTTCAGGTCTCAGCCACCCTCCAGAAGCCCCCTCTGCCTCATGCCATACTCTGCAGTCCCGAGGAAAAAGTAAATCTTATAATCTCTATGGTAATATTTTGTTTGTGCTCTAACAAATAAAGCTTGCTTGGGGATCAGAGTTCAGAGCTAGCCACTGGTTAACCATAGAGGCCAGGCAGTGATGACACACACCTTTACCCCAGCACTTGGAATCTCATGCCTTTGATCTCAGTACTTGGGAGGCACATGCCTTTAATCCCAAACCTAGGGAGGAAAAGGTAGTGATATAGTTGGGTGGAAAAAGAAATACAAGATGGGCACAGACAGAACTAGCCCCCTTTCCATCTAAGGATTTCGTAGAAGTAAGAACTCTAGTGGCTGGCTACCCTGCTTCTCTGATCTTTTAGCTTTCACCCCCAATATCTGACTCCAGGTTTTTATTATTAAGACCAATTAGAACTTGTGTTACAAATCTCTCCAGAGGAGAGGAAGTCATACTGTGTGTTACAAAGCTTTCTGTAGCTGCAATGCAAACACTAGGAGAATAGATTAAAGGCAAGAATTTCTCACTTGAGCTCAGAGTTTCGGGGACTTCAGTCTGTGCTTGGATGGTCCTATTATTTTAGGGCTGAGAGGGCGCTGAACACCATGGAGGCAGGAGCCTGTAGGTGAGAAGGCTGTTCACTTCACTGTAGACAGGAAGCGAGCAGAGAGGTCCTCAAGGCCCTGTGTACCTCAAAGGCTACTTTCCAGGGACTTCTTCCCCACCGAGCCCTGCCTGCTTAAGTTTCTACCATTTCTCAAAGTAATGCCAACAGCTGGGGACCAAGCATTCAATGCCCAAGCCTTGTTGGGGGACATTAATGTTCAGACAAAACTGGGTTGTGTGTTTTTGCCTCCTGCACACTGAGAATGGGGATGGAAGCTGGCCTGGTGCACCAGACAAGTGCTCGACCACTCAACTACAGCTCCGAGTGTGTTTTAGTAACTCTGGAACTCATGTTGTCTGTGGTCTGCTTTGGAGTCATATGACTGGCCTCAAACATGGAAAAGAAAGAGGAAATCATAGTTTTCCCTCCGCTAGACCTACCTTGTCCTCTGCTGACTGAAGCCAGGAAGGGAGGCCCTGGGACTGTGGTCTAGGGTTTCAGAGTGAGGCTCACTTCACCACGTCAGCTGTTGCCATATCCCTCCTAAAATAAGGAGTGAGGATTTCCTGTGGGCACTGTGAAGTCTGTGAGCCCAACAGAGAACTGCAGCGTGCACACACACACACACACACACACACACACACACAAAGTCTCCACTTTCTCCCTCTCCGTCTTGCTCATATTCCAGATATGACAGCTGTTTCTGATTGACTGGCTATCCTTCTGGGCTGGGTGACTCATTTGGGAGGAGGGGATCTGTGTGTGCCTTTGTGTTTCCCTGACAGGGGTCATGTTTCCCTGAAGAGAAGACTTGGCCAGCTTCCCTGATAAAACATGGTGAGGAAGCTTTGAAGCATAAAGAGCAGCGTTGACTTAGGGCCTGTATCCAAATGGTGAGGTCAGTCTATGTGTTTCCAAATCAAGTGCAGTAGCTTTGGACAGTCTGGGACCGCTGGGGAGAAGAGATCTCTGCACACAGTTGGCTAGGCCTGCTGCCCTGCCTGGATGGACCATAAGGGTGTTCACTAAACCGGAAGAGGAAACTCATCCTGCTGCCTCAGCCTTGCAAAGCCTTGCAAGTTTCTGACTCGATTGCAGGGATGGGCATAATCTGCCCAAGCATTTGTTGCTAAAAGGATTGGGAAGGGGGGCTGGCTTCCCGATGCCAGGGAGGAGGCACTTCCTCCCGCTGGTAACCAAACTTCCACTCTAGCAGATTTGAGACAATATTTCCCCCAAGAGCCCTGAGCCCTGAAAAAATCAGGGTGTGGGCCATAGAAATCAGTCCGTGAGAAAATTAACATATTCTAGGAAAGGACTGTGAAGCTTCAGATATCATTGCTCAGGAAACCCCTGAACTACAAATGACTGCTGTGGAGCCCCCAGCTCTTTCAGTGGCACAGAGCCAGTGTGTGACAAGCAGTGTGCCTGTCAGGCGATGTGCCCAGAGTTGAAACATAAGGACGGGGATGTTAAATAAAGTCAAACTTAGAAAGAGAGAGATGTCATTGGAAAGAAAGACTGGTCATGGGCAGAATGGTCCCATGTCAGGACTCTGCAACCACCTCAGATTCAAACAGAAGAACGAGGGGGAGGAGCTTGTCTTTCTGTGGCAGAAGAGAGACAAACAGAGCCAGACAGACTGTGGGAGAGAACCTGGACAAACACCTGAAGTGCATAGGCCAAGCAAGGGAAAGTTCTGGCTGGCATCAGCCCAATCCCAGAAGCTGGTGAAGATGGGCTGGGGGTGCTCTGACCTGGGGGAAGCCGAGCTGGAGAACCAGTAAGGAAAGCTGGAACCCTGAGCAAATGCAGCAGAGGATCAGCCATGGGCAACAGTGGACACCCAGTTAAAGACAAGAATGGACACCGTGAGGAGGCTAATATTGCTATGTATAGTTCTTAAAGCTAAAATTATTGCTAGCGTACTAAAATGAACACATTTCAAAAGATTTTATTTGACAAATATAGGTGGAGCAACCAGACATGACGTTTTGTTTGTGGTTTTTTTTTTTTTTTTTTTGGTTTTGTTTTTGTTTTTTTAGACAGGGCCTGGAACTCACTTTGCAGACCAGGCTGACCTGGGAACTCGGGTGACCTCACAGAGATCTGCTGCCCTGCTTCCCCAGTGGTGGGATTTAAATGTGTGTGTCACCATGCTCAGCACCAGGCTTGTGTTTCCAGCTCGATGGTATCTGGAAGCTTCAAGGCACTTTCCCAGACACTGTTAATTTTTTCCCACTGTCTGATTTCCATTGGCCTCACCCTGATTTCTTCTGGGCTCAAGATTCAAAAGAGAAGTTGAAGACACTAGACACACCTCATGCACAGGAGAGAATAGTGAGCCACAGTGCAAACAGATAAACTCTGACATTGCAACAGGGAAAAAAGACGCTTTGATTCCTCCGAGAACAGGGTCATTTGCATATCACATAGATATTTCAAGTTGCTACAGTTACCTACAACTTCCATAGTTACAAACTAACTCAGAAACAATGCTGGACCATGATAACCTGGAGGGAAGTTCCAAACCGTGGTTCCTGAGTCCGGTTGGGAGAGAGGCATTTCAGACTGCATTGTTTTTGCTCTTCTCTCTGTAAAGCGCTGTCCTAGACCCACTAACCCTGAGGCAGCATCCTTGGCTTCCACTCAGTAGAGGCCGGGAGCACTCACCTCCCAGAAGGTCTGCAGT